ACATTTGTATTTACTTATTAAATGAAAACCAGACTTTCTTTTCCTTCTTCTGACAAGACTAGTAATACTAAGCTTTTTCAAAGCTGCAAAGAGCCTTTTCAGCTCCTGGGGCTGCAAAGTTATGACTACGAACTTCAGCCACAGTGATAAACAGATATTAACCTACAACAATAAAAAAGAAGCACCTGTTTTAAAAGATGATAAATAATGGAGGTGCCTAACATTAATGAAGAGCTGGGTGAGAGCCGGACCTGGATGACAGGGTTAATTTACAATTCAGCTGCTGGCCCCACTCCTGCAACAGCCTGCTCTAGAGGAAGGTGTCCCTGCCCACGCCAGCAGGGGTGGAAATAGCTCTAAAGTCCCTCCCAACCCAAACCATTCCATGATTCTATGACTCTATAAATGACAATGTCCAGCATAAGCCTGTGTTTTTATTTTGGCCAAGTGAAACAATACATCCCTCTGCCTTCCAACAGGGTGAACACCGAAACCTCTGGATAACCAGCTGTGCCCCAGAGCCCATCTGTGTCCTGCACCTGGCACTGCTGCAGTCTCCCCTTGCCTCCTGAAGCCCTGGCATAGCCCACTCATCTCCAGGGACTGTGTGACAGCATAGCAGGGCACCTGAATCCCTGGGGTGTACACAATGGAAACCTCTGGGCCCCCATCTCTGCCCAGAACTTTCTCTCTCTGAACACCCACACAGGAAGGAGCACCAGCCCTGCACCTAACCAGCCTCTAGACACCTGGCAAGTCCCACCATGTGCATCCTTCCCCTGCAAAAGCCAACAGGCCCTAAAGTTTGCCTATAGCAAAACAGACACAAGGCATGCAAATCTGGCATACACCACCTGCACTGATTTCAAACTGAGGAACAATACAACACCTTTTTAGAAGCTGAGGATGAGTAAGTGTATCCAAAATTCAGCATCTGTTTATGGTTCACTGTTTAAGAATTACTCTTGTGTGAACTAAAATGTTCTGACTGATGTATCACCTAACACCTCATTATATCATATTTCTAGTGCACTCATGCCCTTAACTCCACTGCTCAATTCTACTCCTGGTATAGCCCCATAACAGCCATGACTGGCAGAAGTTAATATTTTCCCTTAATTACTCCTGGTTTAGCCCTTTTACTACCATGTATGAACTTTTACTACTCCTACATTCATTTTTTACAGGACTCGTGGAGGAATTGGAATGACACAGTTGGTTTATTGAGCCAAAATAAAGCCCTTCCTATGCCCTGAGCTACAGCATTTCAAAAAATAAAAGACAGAAAGGGATTTTGTTACACCAGAGCTGGTTAAATACTGCAGACTGGCTAATAACAACCTTCTGTTGTTAGTCTCTGAGAAAAGAAAGTCTCTCTTCAAGTGGGAGAGAACTGAATGTTTTAAGCCTCCCCTGAAAAGCAGAACCATAAACAAGGTTTCTCTAAAGTCATGAGAGATTCAGCAAAAACCTTTCTTAAAAAAAAAATCCCCCTTCCCCCTCCCAGTGTCAGCTATGGAAATCTGGGACAAAGGTCCTCATGATTATTCAACAAGTTAGAGATATGCAACTAAACACAAGATTAGTTAACCATGAAAGCAGTACCACCAAGCCAAGAAATTAAACAAGTTAAACACTGAAAACCTGTAAGTGTGTGAAAGGCCACAGCTCTTGCAAAACGCCCTCAGAAGCATTAATATTAGACGAGAAAAAAAAATACTGCCTCAGTGCATGATGCCTGGGCAGACAAACATTGCCTCCCACGGACACGGGACATCTGCCAAGTCACACAGAGCCAGGGCGGCGGAGTCTCAGCACTCATGAGCAGCTCCTTTTCTTATAGAATGTAAAACTGGACGATACTCCAATAGCTCAAGACATTTTAATTAACATCAAGACAAAGCAGCACATCTAAGCCAGGATAACCATCGTAGCACAGACTCAGAACAACACCCATGTGTGCCCCTGTGAAAGGCCTGCCCGTGAAGATGCCAGCTGCCTTACACTGCCCTGAGAGTACTCAGCCTTTCACAACAGTGCATTTCAGCAAGCGCTGGAGCTGAGACATTCCGAGCAGCTTTCCTCTCCAGTACGACAGCAATTCTTTAGGAACAGATGAGGCAATGCCTTGCACTTGTCAGAATCCTTCAGACCCTTCACTGAGTTTCCTACAACTGCCGTGTTCCCATCTCTAATCCTCCTTGTGCTGCCATGGCTCCTCTTCCATGTTCCCCAAGTCACCTTAGTCCTCTGTGCCCAGATCAGCTTATGGTCATTTAGTACTCACACCCATCACTACCCAAACACTGATCACAACGCAGTTTCCAAAACAAGAAATCATGGCAGATTTTTTATGGAGCTCCAGCACAGCTTCACCTTTCGTAGGCTGCTCACACCCCAGGCTTGACTCAAGCAGTGTACCTGCACAGACACAAACATGACCTGCCCCAGCACGTGAGCACAGGGACAAAGCAGAGGCACTGTGGGCACACAGCAAAGTTCAGGGTCCTTTGAATAAAAACATCAAACCAGGCCTCCTCAATCCATGCATCTTGCACAACTCAGGATGACTCCAAACCGTGAGAGTGGTGACACATTGGCACAGGCTGCCCACAGAAGCTATGAATGCCCCATCCCTAGAAATGCTCAAGGCAAGGCTGAACAGGGCTTGGAACAACCTGGTCTAGTGGAAGGTGTTCCTGCCCATGATGGGGGGCTGGAACTAGATGTTCCTTAAGGCCCCTTCCAACACAAACCACCCTGAGATTCCATGAGTTCCACCACCTTTATTTTTTTAAAGAAAGAAAACAAATACTGTTGATGTTCAAAGAGATATCTCTGTCACACCAAGCAAGCTGAACGCAGTGCTGACCCTGCTCCAGCCCCTTGCACAGACAGCTGATAAACCAAGAGGCATTTGCACAGTGTGACCAGTTTCGCTGGGTAAGGAAACAGGCTGCACCTGGAAGTTCGTTATAGAAACAAACAATGTGAAGGGATTGGAATGGACCTTATAAAGATCATCTAGTCCCTGCCATGGACAGGGACACCTCTCACTAGACCAGGTTGCTCAAGGCCTTATCCAACCCGGCACTGAACATCAGGGATCCACAACCTCCTGGACAACCTGTTCCAGTGTCTCACCACCCTCACTATAAAAATCTCCTTCCTCGTTCTTACGCAAATGAAAGTGAACAGAAGACCTCAAAACAAACTCGGCACGGCGGGCTTAGCAGCAGATCAATGTGCCGGCAGAAAGCCCGGAACGCGGCGGAGCTGCACGGGCACTGCGATAACCGGGGAATGCCGGGGGCTCCCCTCCCGCTCCCGCGCACCTCGGTGACGATGGTGGAGCGATAGACATCGCGGCTGTACTCCCAGCCGTCCAGGCACGGCTCCTGCTCCAGCGCCTCCAGCTCCACGTCGGAGCCGGGTCGCAGCCCCAGCGCCGAGAAGTTGGCGAGCGCGGCCAGGCGGTAGCGGCGGCAGCGGCTCGGCACCTCCTGCCCGCCCCGCAGCTCCAGCGGGATGCTGGCGTTGCGCCACTCGCCGCTCAGGTTGGCCCCGCGGGGCACGACGCACCGGTGCTCGGGCGTGCCGGCCAGGAACACGATGGAGAGGCCGTTGAAGCCATTGGGAATGATGCTGGCGCTGAGCAGAAAGAAGACGAGGCGCTGGAAGCGGCCCCACTCGCCCAGGAAGGCGGTGGCCGCGTCGTAGTCCCCAGAGCCGGCCCGCTCCTCCCGGCCCTCCACGCGGGGCTCCGGGCCTGGGGCCGGCTTCCAGCGCCCGCCCGGCCCAGGGCTGGGGACAGGTCCCGGGCCCTTCGTGATCGGGAACGGGCATTAATACAGGCCTCGGATCTCGTAGTTACTGCCCAAAGAATTAAAAAACCAGGGTGGAGATGAATTACAGTCAGTGAGGTTGGAAAGGACCCCGCAGATCGTCGCGTCCAACCCGTGACCGAGCAGTGTCTTGTACCTTCCATGGTGTCAGAGCGCCCCGTCCCTCAGACCCCGGCCGGGGCCTGGGCTCGGCACCCCGGCAGCCGCTCCCCTCAGGGTAACCGGGCTGCTGCAGGCACACAAGGAACCGGCTGGGGCTTCCGTGAAACCTTGCTTTGGGTCAGCACCACGGGTGAGCCAGGAGCTTCATGGAGTGTCCTGCTCCCCCAAGCAGGGCAGTTGTGAGTCCAGGAGAGAAAGGGTTCCTGGTATCACTCTGTAGCACCTTCCCGCAGCTGCCACTGTCCCTTCAGCAGGCTCAGCTAAAGCTGTGAAAAAGCTTTCCTGACCCTGACACTATTTTCTCAGGCAATGCGTACTACATGCTTCACGACAAATAAATTTAATAAATAATATACTAACCCTAGGCCCAAAATCCCACTCAGTACCTAGTGGCACTGGCAGGAAGCTCACAGAGTCCCATAGATGTCAGTTCAAAAGCTGAATTGTATCACTGCAGAAACTTGGTCCTGCTCTTCATAAGGCTATGTCAAAAGCTGAATTGTATCACTGCAGAAACTTGGTCCTGCTCTTCATAAGGCTAATTCACATTTTCAGGTGGCTTTTTGTGGCTGATATTTTTCCCCACCTCTTAACCGATTAAAAAAAATAGTGCACCTTTTATGGCATTTTTTGAACACTTGTATTTAAAATTATCTTTTATCCTGGGTTGGAATCACAGAGCTGTGAAAAATCTCAAAGGTAGAAAATGAATGACCTAATAGGAGTTAAATCACAAAATCATCCTTAAGCCTGGCCAGGGTCTTTAAGAGATTAGCACCTGAAAGGCAGAAAAACAGTACCACACCATCACAATTTTGCGTGGAAGAATTTAATTGGTAAAATAGCTTATTTCAGGATTTTTTTTCCATGCCTGATCCACACTAAATACATTTTATTATTTATTTAAAATTCTTGGCAATACACTATTTATTTACTTATTTAAAATAAAGTTCAGAGACTTGCTCTTCAAACAGAATCCACAAAGGCAGCAGGTTGAAACAATGTCAGTGCACATTTTTATTGCAATGAAAACTGAGGGCAATGACTGACAATTACTACAGCTTCATACAATTATTAGCAGATCCAGCAAGTCAGCTGAGGATCCAAGGCTGCACAGAGAGACCCCAGAAAATGTGACAGAGGTTACAGACGAGGGACAGGGAGATGACCCCCATGTCAGTAAGAACAATCCAGCTGGGGTTTCCCTCATTTCCACTATGCTCAGACTCCATAAGGCCTTCAAATTATGTGATGTTGTTATAAGGACATTCCACCCCCCTGAAATATTATCAAATCTGCTACAAAAAATACTAAAGTGTGACACTAGCCTGAGATCAATGGTTTAAGTAAGAAAAATGAGACTGGTTAAAACACTGTATTTTTAAAAACACTGTATTTTTTCTTATTTAAAAAGGAAAAACAGGTTTTAAGATACTGAAAGGTTCAAGAGTACAAAAATATTTACCTTTTAGAAATACCCAAGCCTACGATGACATAAAATAAGTCTCAAAATAACAATCCTCATAAAAATTTGGCCACCTATATTTAACTCAAGTCCTCAAACCTGTCCTATGCTGATAAAAAGGCTTTCTTGAGAAATTAAGTTACATCTAAACAGTACATCTTTAGATTAACTCTGTAAGGTTAAATACTGCTGTTATTAGAGAAACTGATTGAGAAGGGATGAGAAGATCAGGAGTCACAGGTTCTCTTATGCCATGTTACATTTATGGCAAAAGCATAACTGCAGGAAATTAAAAATAGTATTTCAACTCCCAAAAGCAGCTTGAGTTAATTGCACAAGTTCCTTGCAGTCGTTATAAAGCTTAATATTTGTGCTTGGACTTCAGGGAGAGCCTCATTCTTGTGCCAAGAGCCAGCACAAGACAACCTACCCTGAACTCATGCATTAGAGATGAGACACTGTGCTTTTGTTAGCCCTTACAAAAGGTGAAGCAGGGCTGATTTTTATTTATAGAGGAGAAAAATCAGTCTACCAAGTCTGACAGACTTAAAGTGACCAAGAAGTGCACATACAGCCAATAAATAAAAAAATAAGAGGAATCACACTCTTCAAACAATGTAGTGTTCATAAAACAGTAGTAGCACAACTCTGAGCTCTACATTTATCGTCATCCAATCGAGTTTTGCTGAACTTAAACCAAAAAAGCAAACATACATAATCTGTAGGATTTGGAAAACAAAACACTGGTTTTTGTTGGTGTTTGGGTTTTTGGTTTTTTTCTGTTTTTTTTTTTTTAATAAAACCCTGTGGTCCCAAATTAGTCCTTTTAAATTTTTAATAGCTGCAGGTCAACATATCCAGTACAGAAAATCAGATTTTTGTGAGCATCAAATCGCTTTTAAGTTTGTAAATGCTACAAAGGTTTTGTGAAAGCTTTTGAAACTGCAGTGAGTGTTCTCTGAAGGTGCAGAACAAAGTGGTATGTATTCAAAGAAGAAATTAAATACTTTGTGAAAAAGAAAAAACACCACCCCAAGAGAGCTAAAAAACTGCTTATGCCCACATACCACTAAAAACCTGAAAGCTATAATGCATGGCACATTGGGACAGGATCACGGACTTGCTACAGCTCACTTTTCTGTTGAAAGTGGGTGTGACCCACCAGAAAGTCAGCAAACTACAGTCCTTTCTCAGTGCTCAAGATTTTCCCCTTCCCCAAAGATGCTGAAGATTCACAAAGCTGAGGGTTTTGGGTGGGCTCAGGCTTTATGAAAGAGCAGCAGCTTTTACAGGAACAGGGGGATCCCAGGTCCTGGGAAAAGCAAGTGACATCTAAAGCCACTCTGATGGTGTGTTTTAAACCCATGTCCTTACAGGGAAGTCTGTGTCTCCTCTGCTACAAATGAATTTTGACTCCACTTAGTCTATGGGCTTTGGTCATAGACTTCAAGGGAGGCCAGGATCTTTCTTTCAGGAAAGGCAGACACCCAGCTCCCCTTCCTCCAGTCAACACACAAAGTGAGAAAAAACACCAGCATTAGGTTTGCTTTTTTTTTTTTTCTTTTCCCTTTCAGCAGCTTTTATCGAGTACCTGACTGCCTGGAGTCACTGCTGTGGTATTTCTAAGGCTCACTTCCAGCTTACTCCTTGGCTTGTGTTCAGCACAGGCAGGCCCCCGTTCCTCAGCAGGGGCTGTGACTGCTGACAAAGGCCAGGGAACAGGACACGGAATGACAGACTAATGGTCCTACAGGAGCAGACAGCATCTGCTCAGTGTACTACATCATCTGGGGACAGCAGCACGGGGGACAATGACTGTGGTGCAGTAGCTGTTGGGTTTTGTTCATTTTCCTCTGGCAGCAAATGCATTTTGAGATGACTGTGTTCTTCTTTCAGCCCCTCTGAGAGGTGTGTCTTTCTTCACAAAGGTGTTATCAGACTTTTAGGACTCTCCTTGGAACTCCTAATGCCAGTGGTTTGTTGCTCATTTCTGAAACTGAAAGCAAGTAAAAGACTGAGAACATTTTTGATGATATCATCAGACACTTCCCTCTCCTACAAGCACCACTGCAATAACCGTGTTACACTGCTGGTATAAACTTTAGATGAAATATAATGTTCTGCACAGTGTGCCTGGCTGGATGGCAGCAGCAGTGCAGCAAACAACGCTTGGAACTTGAACATCATTCAGCAACTATAATTCAGTTCCTTCAGGCTGTTGATCCAAGAAGCCTCCAAGGGGAATCTGGTTTGAATCTGGGATTTCCAGCTACAGGGCTGAAAAGCCATACGTGAGACATATAAGAATTGTGATAAAGAGCAACATGTCCTTTCTCAAGGAAAGACCTAGCAATTTTTCTCTTTCTGAAAGCATAATGACAGCTCCTTATGCTGACCAGGAATTAGATACAGAGAATTCTAGCTTTTTCAAGCTATTATTGTTTACAGGGGCAAATTCTGTTCCAATACCAGTTCTCACTGAGCTAAATGGTGGCTATGCAGCTGCTCTTTGATTAATTCAGTTCCCCTCTGCTGCTCTAAGAATTTTTCTCACACTGTAGTGGAAGTGCATAGATTTGAGCAGAAATATTTGCTTGGGGTACCCTAAATAGCAGTGTTGGTGGGACGAGAGAACTGTCATAACTTACAGCTAAATCATATAAACCAGAGGAAAAGCTGTCCTGGCCTGTCTCTGGCTGCCCAGGAAGAGACTAGAATGTTGAAATCCTGCATTTAATTTAGAACAGTACCGAAAGAACTTACACTGGAAAAATGAAGGGTCTCATAATGCATATAATCCTACTAAATAAACAGTTTAAAGGAATAGTTTAAATAAAAGGTTAAGGAGAGTAAATGATAGAATAGGGTGGAAAATGTCTGGACATCTGAAGCAACAGCTTCAAGGTGCTGTGAAGGTCAGCCTTGCTTTGCCAGAACACATCAGCTCTCAGGTTTAGACATTCTGGAGAAATTGTATGATGTCATTGTCTGTCAAATTAACAACCCAACAGTCAAAGAAAACAATTTGAAGGGCACTTTGAGAGCTTTGAAGTTTTGCAGTGGACCTGAAGAAACATCTTTCCCGATTGTGAAATGGGACTGTGTTCTAAACTCCTGTGAAGAAGGATGAATAAAAGCTGCCTTACCATTTCACCTTCATCATCTGCTCAAAGCTCTCGGGCAGTGGATTGCCAAAGCTCTCAGGGAGAAACAGGGTCAGGATCCCAATCAGCACAGTCAGGCTCCCCATCAGGATGTATGGTAGGAATCTGTCATAGGCACCTGGCAGAACACAGAACATTCCAACAGCACTCAATGTCCACAACTGACAAACCCACATGTAAAGTTTATATTCCAGACATTGCTGTAATGCAGAATTAATTGGAGTAATTATCTGAGAGATTCATCAGTATCAAAGGTGAATCCAAAGTTGAATTACATCTATTACCTGCCAGCAAAAGGACTTTTCAATTTTAAAGCTTCAACATGTGCTGTTGAACATGGCCACACCTGCCATAATTTCATGCTAACCTCCACACTTGTGTAGCAGCTAAAAACTTGGGTAATTTTTTGTTTGTTTGTGGTTTTTTTAAATATTTTCAACTGGGATAATCAACATCTTTGCAAGGCAATAGCTCTGCTGGAGCCTTCAGTACCACACTGTCATCAAGAACCAAATCCTCTGTTAAATAATATGGGGGAATAAAATTGCCTCTAAGCAGTGAAGCACTAATCACTGCCTGAGATCATGTACCCTGCTGGGCTGATGCAAAAGAAGGGAAGAGAGTAAATCATCTGAACAGGTCAGTTACAGACTAACACCTCATTAATGGGGAACTGCCTTAAATCCTTCCTTGCTGCAAAGGGAGAGAACATCAGGCTTCCCAACACACACATGAGGCTCTGACCTTAGTCTACTCAGAAAATTATTTTGGACTTGAAGGCAGCAGCCTCTGCCAGCAGCCTCAAGCTGGCACACAACTGTTTAGACAGGATGCAAGATCCTCAAGTCACAACAGCACAGCACTGAAAAGGTCTTTCAGAAAAGGGATTAGCTAGGAGTTAAAGGTACTGAAGATAGAGAAAGTACCAAACTGGACTTGACAGCTTTATTTTATAGCTGGGACAGAGCAATATGCTTTATAATGTATGGAATAAATCCAGATTAAAGAGAGAACCCCTGGGTATGTCTCACAGAGCCAAAGTTTGTGATCTGATCTCCTCTGTGTTTTTGAGCTGGTGGAACTGCAAGGTCCTAATTTAGCTGTAGCAAATAGCTACAGCTGACAAGTTTCTCCTCAAATCTCTTAAAGTTTAAGAAACTATTTTGATGTCTAGAACAAGATTTTTTTAAAGACTGAGCCTGTGGATACCTGGGAGGAAAAAACCCCACAAACCCACAAAAAACAATCAGTAAAAATGTAATTTTGTCTACATTTCTCCCTTAGTGCTGCAATGGAGACTGGAGACCTTCAGGAGAGTCACAGTCCTGCTGACCCTTTTACTTCACATTTGCACTGCACAAGTATGAAACAAAGACAAGGTATTTTCATCATTTTTGGTACAGTGTGTTCCAGTTACACTGGAATGCAGAGGTGAGTCAACACTGATTAGTTACAGATATTCATCTCCCCACTTTCCTGGCATGGAGAATCAGCACAAACCCCTCAGCAGTACATCAGCAGTGTTCTGTCAAAGCCAGCAAAGTGAAGCTCATGTTGTATCAAAGATCTCAGCAGGAAGCAACACTCATTATGGGCAGAGAGCTGACATGGGTCCAGTGACAGCAGAAGGAAATAAATCACGTGTGAATGAAAGAAAGAGGAGATTGAGCACCCCAGACTGAACAGAAGGTATTCACTTTCACCCTTAGTCCCCTAACCTCTATCACTCTTTCCTGTCTGCAACATGAGGAACATGTATTTTATGTATTAAACAAAAAACCAAATCAAACAAAAAAATATTTGTCAGTTAATATATGTGCAGCACTCATAATGTGATGGCATCGAGTGTCAAAAAAAGCCTTTGAGGAAATTAATAATTCTGCTTACAGAAATATTGAGCAATAAGAAAAAGCAAAATGAATGAATGCTGAGATGACTGGCTTAGAAACTAAAAAAAACCAAAAAACAAAAACAAACCACAAAAAAACCCCACACAACACTTCAAGTAAATGCATTTTCATGCCACTTAACCTGTATGTTTTCCATGTATTATTTTAGAGAGCACAAATCCTGGGAATGTTTGGATTCCCACCTGCCAACATACCTAGCTCAGGATGCACAGGGACAGTACCATGCAATGAATTTCCATTTCCTACTGCTGCATTTCCTTACTTGCAAGACCACTTCTTGTCACACTCTCCTGGGAAACTAACTGGCATCCCGAGATGTGATTATCATTTCAGCCACACTGCTCGTGCAGTTTATAAACATCATCACTGTATTGGACCAGCTCTAACCCACTTCACTGATACATGAATGGTCCCTAAAGGAATTAAATGCCTTATCTTCTATGAAGCCCAGGGAGCTCCATTTAATTTCTACCACATGTGATGGTGAACTCACACCCAAGCTGAGAGAAGGAACTGAAAACAAAAGTGAAGGGACTTAAAGCTGAGCCTGCACTGCAGAAGCTCAGACAGCTTCTCTGGGCAGTTGTGTGGTGCAAGGCATGAAGAAGGAGCTCTCACCCAGGTAAACGAAGTAAGGAGCAATGATGCTGCCCAGCCTGGAGGCCGTGGAAGTCGCTCCCACTGCCATGTTTCGCACCAGCGTTGGGTAGAGCTCCACGTTGTAGACATAAAGCATTGAGAACGCTGCTGTGATGCCAAACTTCCCAAGCATCACCAGTCCAACAGAGAGGACATTCAGTTCTGGAGGAGAAAAAATAAAATCAAGGTGAATAAACAACACTCTGTGCTTATTACCTGTATTATTCCTACATCCAAAAGACTGTATTGCTGTGATTTTCCAAAAGGTCACAAGTTGGGCGCTTCAGGGTTTTTTAATTATAAAAAGTATTAATCCCATCCCTAGATGACTTCAAACTCCCCACTAAGCATAATGTAGATGCTCAGGTTATTTTGTATTTTTCAGATTTTGGTTGTCTTCAAGTAAAACAGCATTCTTGAAAGGAACAAAACTCTGTATTACACAGCAATAAACTAGAAGCTTGAACCAACCCCTTTTTCACAAAATCCTGTGGAGATTTACACACAGTGAAATCCAGATGCAGGCTTTTGTCACCTGGAAGCACAACCAGATAAATCACAGTACACTTTCAGCTTTTATTTTAGAACTTGGTTCCCCCTGAACTATATAAAGCTCAGTAATTTGACACAATAAATGAGAGTCGAGTGTGACTCAGCATATATAAATGCAAAAGAAAAAACCTAAGGCTGCAAGGGATCAGCATAAACTTGACCTCGAATTCTAAACTTGATCCTGGTTTCCAGTAATTCTGCAGAACTGTTATGCAGTACCACAACATATTTTGAATGTTTCATATACTTAAGTCACACGTTTAATTTTGTACCTGCAGGAACCAGCTGAATGAAGAGGACAACACTTCCCCCTAAGAACAAGACGCCAGACAGGGAGTAGCGCCGTGGGAGGGAGCGGAGGAGAAGCCAGGCGATCACATACGCTGGAACTTCAATAACAGCCGAGAGGAAACAGTTGATGTAGGCATTTCCATGCCAGTCTGGAGTGCTGAGGGATAGGCCAAAGTAACCAACTGATGTGAAAAACCTGAGAAAAGCAATAAAAACAAATTATTCCAGAAACAGCAGTCTCTGAACGCCTCCAGTGCTGCCTCAGATGTTGTTACAAAAACAGGATATCGCAAAGCACTGCCACAGGCACTGTGGCTTAAAAAAGTCTCAGTGGCAACTCCCTCTTTCTAATTCTGTCATCCCATTCAGTGATCATATCCACAGCAGCTTGAAGACACCTCAGATTTCTCTGTCCTTCCTGCATACACTACATCAAGTAAAAAGTTTTGTGGAAGTTGTTTACAAAGACTTTTCACTGCAATGGACTCAACAACACAATGAAACTCTTGCAAGCTTCCCAAGCCAACTGCATTCCTACTTGTAGCTAGTGTCAGGATCTCCCACCCTCAGCAGTTCTGTTATGTCTTATTTAATCTTCACAGAGAGCTGGATGATCAGATTTCAGATCTCAGGAATGCCTTACCAAATGTGCTAGCCAATTCCTTTCTGCTGGAGTGAATATGGACAGAAAAGAGTTCTGGATTGTCTATACAGCATTATTGGGTCCTCATTTCTCATGCCCAGGCAGGGACCATCACTGAGATGGGCACAGTACAGAACAGAACAAAAATGCTGGCCATGGGTCTGGCTCTTGTTATGTCACTGAGTTGCTGCCTTTGCTTCAAGAACATTTCTCTTCAAATAGAGATTACAGAGATGGGGAGCATTAAAAAAAAAAAAAAAGCAACGTACTTAAAAATACAGAAGTTGTTACGTATAGTTTTCTAACTATTTTACATCTGAGTCAAGGCTACTGTCTCCATATTCTTGTGTATTAATGCAGTGTGGGTGTGAGGACACTGAGGGCCATGTACCAGCCAAGGACCACTGGAGCTGGGCTCCAAGGCTCAGACTTATTATCTAAACCTGTGGCATGTGCCCTCAAATCAGAAACTGTTCTATTGCCTGGGTACTTTAGGAATACACATTTCCTTACCACAAAAGTAATGACATAATAGTAATAGTTGCAATGTTTCGGGTTCGAAATAGGTCCAGAAGGATAGCCTTCTGCTGCTGCTGAGGCTTCGAATCCTGCATCTGAAGGAAAAAGGAAAACAAAACCAAAAAAATTCCCACACACCTAAGAGCATAACAACCTCTGCTACCCACAGTCCAGGCAGTTATGGAGTTATGACTATCAGGGGTAAGTGGTCAGCCCAAGGGCCACTTCTGCACCAGGGAGCACAGTCCTCAGGTGGAGCTTGTCTTTGCACCCAGCTGTACTCATGGGAGTTTCCACTGCACCACGAAGATTAATTAGAAAGGTGAATCAGCTGACCAGGCAGATGAGTTAACGTTTCCTTAAGGACATCACAGGGTGCTTCCACAGGTAACCTCAGCACCAGAGGCATTGTTCTGTCCATTCTCTGCACTGTCCATTCGACTCTCTTAAGCCTTCATAAGTGATGTGAAATGGATGTAGGGAATCAGCCAGTTTTGCTGCCTGCCAGCACCCTGACAGGGGGAGCAACAGATGAGAAAGGTTGGTGAGGCCAGGGCACATCGCAGGAGCATCCACCACCTCTGACTGGAGATGGAGGGTCTAGTTTGAGGCTTGAAGCAGGAATCTTCTGGGTGGCATTAGGGTTCCTTTCTGCCTGCACACTTTGCCCTTGCTAGGGCAAAGCCAGAACTTGTGGCCAGGCTTCCCCCAGGCCCAAAGAACAAACCACCCTGCTTCTCCCCACAGGACTATCCAGGAGATACCCTTTTCTAGGAATAGATGATGGTTTCCAAGGAGTCTTTCTATTAATGTTTGAAAAATACTTCCAACATGAGACTTGGCATGCAGATATCTTCCTCAGGCTTTTTTGTACGGACATTTTGGCACATAAAATTTCCATGAAGCAAGTGAGTGTCTCCTTGGTTTAAGAAAATATGCAGGAATGATAAAATGCTGCAGTCCAAAAAAGTAATCCCTAGTTTGAATGACATCTGAGGCCTGGCTGTGAAGTAAGGGAAGTGCTTTTCCACGGCTGGTGTAGAATGAGCTTCCCATAATTGGAACATGCACTTCAATTTACACTAAAACTTTCACTTGGGAAAGAGATCTTCAGCCAAAATATAAGTGTGACAGTCAAGTGATGGATCCTTCCCAGGGGAGGGGGAACTCCCAGCATCTTTGTCCTGCAGAGGCACGGCGCTTTGCTTTCTGCTCTCTCTGCCACAAAACAAAGGTGGCAGTATAAGGCAGCAGAGGGAGATCCGACCTAGAGACACACTGTCACTGCTGACGCAGGGCTGGAGAGTCTGCACAAATAAAATGTGCCTTTGTGAGGAGCTCCAGTGAGGGCAGAGCCAGTAGAGGGAGAGATGAGCACAGGAACCAGCCATCCCACTGTGGCTGTGCTGCTCCCTGGCTTGCTGGGCTGCCAGGTTTGCACTAGACTTTCTTCTTTTAACCAACAGGTATGACATACAGAAAAACCAGCTTTGAAGAAGAGCTTGATGTTCTACACTGTCTTCACTCACATCATGGTTTTCAAGTCCCCTTGTAGCACTCAGGTGCTTTGGCTGGTTTGGGCAACCTGAGGAGTCCCTCAGGCTCCACAGAGACCCAGCTCGTGTGGATGCTGACTCAGGGTCCCCCACACAGCCCCCCTGCAAAGGGCTCTTGCTGAACTGCAAACTGCTACAAAAGCACCAAACTGAAATGGGCACAAACACATTCTCCTTGGGTCTTTGCAGCGCCCAAAGGATGAAGCAATCTGGGTCACCCTTGCTTTGAAAACCACAATAAACCACTGCTGAGGAAGAGAATTTTACTGTGAAAAGCAAACAAATAAAAACTCCCTCTGGGTTCTCACTTTGAACTCTCTGATCACTTTGCTAACCCAGCACTTACCAAAGGCCAACAGTCACTGCCAGCCCAAGAGCTGCTGGTGCAAACCAGCTCTTTGCTGGCATTTCCCAACAAGTCAGCCGGCCAAATGGGGAAGTGCCAGCGAGATAAAGTACCAGGATGTATGGAACATACCTCTGCAGTGTCAAAAAGCACAGCTGGGGCTGGAATGCCATTCATTTTTGCAGCCTTTTGGATAATAGCTTCTGCCTCCTTATATCTTCCCTGGGAGATCAGCCACCGAGGAGACTCAGGAATGATCCTATAATAAGTTTCAGAATAAATGATTCAATGTTTTCCCAAAAGTAACAAGGTATAAATAACAGATTTATTGTGCCTAGGAGTTACACTCGGATCTCACAGATTGCTTGCAGCAGGAGACAGCCAGCACAGAAGCATGTGGGCAATGTAATTCAAATACATGGGACCTATTGTCATGCTAAAGTGGACGCTTTGTCCTCAGTGGTTGTTTTTTAAGGAATATTTGATGTCCACCAGATGTCACCAGATAGACACAAAGGATGGCAGTAGCTTAGCCAGTGTGAATCAAAAATATTCTTAGGAAACTGCACACAATGTGGAAATGCTTTAAATATGCACAGCATGTATTTAAAGGTTCTGTGTCATAGGAATGTTATATACAAACCTCACCATGTTACCACAGCTCTGAGGCAGATTCTCCCAGGCAGAGGGCAGGGGCAGTGTTCCCTTGCAGAGTTGATGACATTTTCTAATCAATTACAGGCACATGTTGAATGAATTAACACCAAGTGCAGGACAGAAAACTTTAACCTTGCTGAAGTTTAACTTTGGTCTTAACAGATGCTATCTTGCTCCCTTTAGACAGCAGCACTTTTTCCTCTTCTTGGAAAAATGCAGGTCAGGCACTCCTTTTCTGATGAGCCCCAAAGACTGACTAAAAGCCAGGTCAATAATTACAAACATCAGATGATTTATATCTGATCATTAATCTAATGGGACTTTCTGTAAGATGAGCTGCCTCCACTGCTCTTCTTACTGGGAAAGCTGAGGATCTTGAGACTGCAGAGATAATACAGGGAACCTTCTGGAGAATTTGGAAGGGAAATGAGTAAAAGAGCAAGAACTGTACAGAGCAGAGGGATGTGCAAATCACATGGCCCGTGGAAGCAGTGGGTCCACATGCCAAAATGCCAGCTGACACCAACCTGCCTTGGCAGAGCTTTGCCAGGGCACCTTGATCCCCTTCTACACCAACACAGGCCCCAAAGTGCCTCAGAGGAAGTTTTTGGCTCTTTTAAGTGTAAGCTTTTGAAAGTCCTGGGAATTCCCAGCCCATAGATTTCGAAGCAGGACTCTGAAGCCACGCTGTGGGGACAAATTTCCTGAGCCTCACAGTGCCTGTTTTATAGCAGACATCTGAGAGGCTCTCACCCAGAACCAGCCTCCCCAGAGAACAGTGCTTGGTGCAGAGGGAAATGCTGCTGTGATGAAGGAATTTGAAATAAGCAAACTGACCCTTAAACAGAATCAGACTGTCTTTAAAATCCAATGACAGCAGAGGTGGAGATGAAAACCATTTTAAAGGTTTGGTTTGAAGACTGAGGTTGAAAAAAACCCCAACTAAGCAACAAACCATCAGCAGATACTTCTTACAAGACTGGGACATGCAGGAAGTGTTTTAGACTATAGAAGAGTGTGTCTAAATCACTCAACTGTTATAAAGATCCCAATTGTTCACTTATAGATGTAACTTTTTCAAGATAGCAAAAAGAAAGGAGTTCCCTGAATAATATGAAAGAACTCTTCCTGTTGTGAATTAAGAGTGTGAGTGATACTTTGCTTTTCCTTTCCTATTTTCAAACACCTGTCCCTTTAGAAAACAGCAGATGCCCAAGGCAGCAACGGAATAGGGCTGTCCTTCTTCAGTGCTTCTCTCCAGCTAAAAAGAGCAGGACTGCAAGTACACAGCACCAGCGAGGCTCTCTAGGTAGTTACTCGACTTAAAATTGGCAAGAAACACCAAACAAACAATGCCCCCTCAAGGCAGAGCCTTCCCACAGGGTGAACAGAAGAGTGGCCCTCCTCCCTGCCCCTCTGCCACCACCCAGCACACAGAGCACCAGCGGGAGGAGGGAGGGGAAGCGTGGCCTGGCATGGACTCACCACCAGAGCGGGATGCAGAACAGCCCCGGGACAGTGAGCGCCAGCAGCAGCATCCGCCAGTCTCGGATGAAGAAAGCAAACAGTGGCAGCAACATGTAGCCAATTGCAAAAAATATGCAAACTCCTAATGTAGAGAACAGAATACGAACTGATTTGCCAAGAATTTCTGTGCCTGTTTAAAACAAGGGAGGTTGGATTAGCATTTTAACTCTTGGTTTTCAAGCATGACTAAATACTTTATTGCATTTACAAACAAACAAAAAAAAAATAAGCTAAACAATCTTAGAAAAGAGCACCACAGCACAGACACGCCTGTACAGAAAAGCTGCTGGGAGTATTGGGAACCTTCAGATAAAGAAGCTACTTCTGTTTGCTTTGATTAATGCCTTGGCAGACACAGATAAGGACAGGCATGGGGGATGGCTGGCAGACTTCCAGGAGCCTTCCCCACACACTCGCCTAGGACACATCCTGCTGCCCCACTTAACCCATCCGGATTTAAGATTAATTCACTGCTGGGCACTTCTCAAAGAGCAAAGGTCTGAGCACACAGACTGGCATGGGATGGAAGGATGTGAATTTGCGGTAAGGTGAGGTGGAAACAAATTTCCCACCTATTTTTGGGAACTGAAGGAAGGTTGGAATGTTGGATCAGCACACCAGGGGCTGAAGGACAGAACCAGGGAAGATGCCATCCTCTAGCAATGTTACTGTTCCAGTAGCCAGGCAGCAGTCAGGGAAAGCATCCTACAGCCATTGCACCATGCAGCAACCTAATATCGAGTAATGAAAACTCAGCCAGTTCTAAGCCTTCCACAGCACCTCAATTCTTTTATAATAAAACACCCAGCCACTCCTTAACAAAATCCAGTGAAGCCCTCAGGTCCACCTCACTTCTCCTTGAGCTCTCAGCCCCTGGTCTGCAGAGCTCTCCTTCACATTAGCAGCACTGCAAGGGTCCTACCTGCCACAGTTTGATCTGGACTCAGTTAAAACACAAACAACACTGGGCAAACTGAGAGTCACAAAGTGTGGAGAGTGTACTTGGGCTGTGTATCATGGCAAGAACTCCAACATTTATTATTGAAGAGAAGATGGAAAAAAAATACCCAAGACTGGAAAACCCTCCTATTAGATAGTTACATGAATTCTCATTTCAGAAACCTGGAGTAACTGAAGAAAATCACAGTAAAAAAACCTGAAAATAAGAATTTGCTGGGCTAAAATGAGTGTGTGGGGATAAACAATACCATCTTCCTCTTGACTTGCTCTTGTTTAGAGGGGCTTTATTTGGAGAAGTCTGATACTGGAAACATTGGTATAAGCCTGTTAGCTGTTACATTACAATTTGTGTCAATTCAAAGCTAGTATGAGATGACATCTCTTCTGCCTCTCCTCCTCCCTCATTCTCCTGGCCATGGACTAACAGTTCTTGTACAACACCAACATGCCTCCACAAACCTCTGTAGTGTTTTCCAATCCCAGAACCTGAACACAACAGTTTTGAGCACAGAGAACAACTGACACTAAAGCTAAGAGAGAAATTTCACAGCAGGTGGTTGAAAAAACCCTAACATGGACTACAGAATTTCACCAAGAGCTCAGGGGGAACTATTTCCATGAAGGTGGGCAATAGTGCAAAGGGCAGCATGAGCCTGGGTGGCCAAGGATGCTGAAACAGGGTCTGAGCTACACATGGGGAGGCAACAGAGGTCTGGATGTTCAGAGTTTGAGTGACAAGAGAAACCTGTGCTGAACTTGGGAAAAAACCCACTGCACTAGGGGATGGAGGGTGCCAGGGCTGCAGCACAGCCAGGCTCAAGGGGCCTTTGTAGGTGCTGGTGTCACTGCTCCCCTGCCAAGGGCAGGTCAGCCCTGTCTGCTCTCGGATGAAACAAGGGGAGCATCTCCAGCACATCCTGTAATCAGGATGGGCTTTGTTAAGGAGTTACTTTTCTTTTTATGGGGATATTCTCCTGTTCAGTACCTCCATCATGCACAGCCTCCTGGAAGCTCCTGGGTTTGCCTTGCCACAGGCAGAAGTCCCAGTGCTGATGGGGACACACTGGCTGTGGAGTGTAGGGTGGGAAGGACCCTCTGTAAGTACCTCCCTCCTTACCCATGAGGGTCTGACGGCTCACTCAAAGGAGGAAGCCAAGGTCTGAGTTAGTTTAGATTAACCCTGCCCTTAGATCCAGCCTCAAGGCTGCTGGGGAGTGGCCAGCACTGCTGCCAAGTGCCCCAGGAATCTGCCTGTGGCACCTCTGCAGCGGAGAGGGAGGCAGAAGAGACAGCCCGATGGGGCAAGGGCCAGCAAACAACAGCTAACCATTAAACAAGCCTGATGGCACTGGGGGAAACCCAGTCCCCTCTCTCTACAGAAGGACCATTTGCCCACTGGGGTGTTCCTGGCCCTCCCTTCCAGCTTTGCTTCTGCTGAGCACTGAGACAGCATCCCAGTCCACATCCAGCTGTGCCCACCTTCCCCAGGAGCTGGCAGCTAAACTCCTGCCTGATCAGAACCTGCACCTCTGTGCTACACAACACCCATGTGTTTCCACAAGGATTTCCAGCTTCACCCAGTGCTGCACCTCCCAGCCTTCCCATGGCAGGCATTTGCTCCTGCTCCACCAGCTCCACACACGAATTTAACTACCAGGACAGTGGGAGCAGTGGCAATTGTGACAGCAGTGGCAGGAACAGCTCCAATGGTGATGGCAACAAGGGATCTCCCTGCTGGCAGCCTGACCTTAATCCTCCCTGTGCCACAGGCAGCAGTGACTGGTGCTGCTTGGAGACACAATTCTGCATCCTCTTCATAGTTCAGAAGAGCATAGTATGAAGTCAGTGCTATTTTCTCCCCATTAAACCTCATGGGGTAGGAAAGACCAGCATTAACTAGTAATGGACAATTTTAATCTAGCTCACATTACGATCTACAAATTGTAATGTTGACACCAGGGGTTTAAAACCAGCCATAAATATATATTTATACAGACTTTAAAGACAGCAAATCCCAGTTTCCCCCCTGAGACCTGCATCACTCATCCCCATAATTTGCCTGGGCAGTTGCCTTATCTGAAACCCCCATGTCCAGTGGGAGCCTCTGTGGGGTCCCCTTCCCCATGGGGTCCTTTGTTCCCTGCAGAGTCCCCAGGCAGCAGCTGTAGCCATGCAGGGGCTGGGTCTTTATTCCTACACTCCCCATAGTAAAGAAAGCAAACCTTATCTTCCAAAACTTGGGACTGCATCACTGATCTCAGCACTGAGAGCATTCATGGCTAATGGGGCTCTGCTCTGGTCCCCTGGCACTCACTGTGCCTGGAAACTGCTGGTTTGCTCCAGGGCTTTGCACTCAGGTGTGCCCTGGCCTCTCTGCAAAGGGTGCAGAGGGAGGCAGGGATGAGCCCAAAAGCCTTCTGTATCTCAGACCTCTGCTGCTGCTACACCCTGAACACTGCCTTGAATGTCTCCAAAGAGGAATGAAATTGATGTTTATTTAGACTCTCCCTGCTCTCTTCTTTTTCTCTAAACCTACAGAAAGTATAGGTTTGAAGAATCACAGAGAAAAAAAACATTCACACTAGCCTAATGTAGGAATTTTACCAGTGCAGATTTACCACTGTCTAATTAAATAATTCAGGTTCAGAGGGAAAAAAAAAGTAACAGTACATTAAGCAAACATGTAATCTAATGCAAATATATTCATACCCAAAATGAAGGCCACCACGTAGTTAGAGATCTGTCCCATCCCCACAATGAGAAAGAGAACTGTGAACATCTCCCAGCTGGTGGAAAAGATCTGCAGGAAACTGAAGCCAGTCTGCACAGCCATTGTCAAAAAAAGGATATTCTTCCTGCCAAACCTTTGGTAAAGAAAAAGATTATTACTGAAACAGCATGTAGTTATGGTAAGAGGGCACAAGGGAGAACAAATATCCAATCTCAAGTTATGCATCTTAGCACAACCTGAAGTTCTGTTCATCTTAATTTTATTATTTTTATATGCATTAAAAAATATTAAAATTTCCAAGACCAATGAGACAAATAGAGAAGAAAATCTATGAGCAGAAACTTCAGAAAGCCACTAGACAGATTAAGGAGATTAGGCAACAATATAATAGGGAGACACATTCAGACTGCAAGCCACACACCTGGAAGTGAGGAAATGATGGATTTTAGGCTGCTGGCACCTATACTTTGCCACACCATTATGCTTTGAATGTGCTAAATAGATTTGTCAGCTGGTTCTGGTCTGAGTTGCCAGACACACTGCCCCCTTTCTCTCACCAGTTTCTCTGCATTAGGATTATGTGGCATGTGCTCCTGGAGAGGCAGGACAAGCTCAGTGCAGGTTTTCATACCTGTGGGCACAGATGCTGCAGGGGCTGCATCACCTGCTGCCTGCAGCAACCCTTCACTTGGAAAGGCTTCTGGAGCAGGCATGGGGAAATTGCTCAGGGACAGGCTCAGAGCATAACCCTGGACTGACAAAACCCCCAAATAATCCAAGGAAGCTCTTGTGGGAAGGCATGAGCCAGGCTCTCAGTGGCTCCACCAGGGCACACACACTTCCTCAAATGCTCCCACTGGGAAATGGCACCACTGGGATTTAGTGATTATCTCATCTCCCTTTCAAACAGTAACACCAACTGACTTCTGCACTGGGGCAGGAGTCAGGCGATTAAATTCAGATCACATGGAATTTAATGCTGGAGGCTTTAGGATTAAGATTCCCAGTGAGTTTTGAAACCCCTCCACTAAGCACCCAGAGGAACCCTGCTACCTTATGACATCCTCATTCCCAGAGAGCAGTCAGAGCAGGACCAGAGATCCCACCATGGGCACAGGGCTGAGGGCTGAATGGAGCAGAGATTGGCACAGGGAATGTATATTCTGCATTCAGCACTTCCAGGGCCAAAACCTCAACACTGCTGAGACAATTATCAAATACCTGTAATGATTTTTTTACATTTATCTCTACTTAGTGAGATGCTATGACAACTGCTATCATTTTCAGGTTATCTTTTTTCCTTCCTCTCATATGTCCTTACTCTGTTTCCACCAAACCATCTCTCTTATGCAGAGATTCCATTCAAAGGGCAAATTCCTATCTTGCAGCTATAACAAGGGGTTATCAGTTAATGTGCAACAAAACCCAGCATCTTTTAAACTACTGAAAAGGCTGGATCAAGAAACAAAGGGGAAGTGGGTTGTGAAGGGAAACCCACTGCATCAACCTGCAAAGCAGCCACGTGGGCTCCTTGTGGAGATCAGTCCCTGGGCTCTGAAATGCCTGAGAGAGGGAAATCCTTCACCTGGGGTAGACCAGGATGGGATTTTGGAAGAAGCCAGGCCAGTTACCTAATTTAGATCAGAACTCTGAGCACTGGACATCTCACTCCTTTTGTCTCTTAAAACAAATGTCCCAGGTGTGCCCCTGGCGTTACCTGTCTGAGAGCTGTCCCGAGATGAAGGAGCCAATGAGGACCCCCACAAAGAAGAGGGAGGTGGTCAGTGGGGCTTTCCAGTCGTCCTCACACACCAGGTTCCACTGCAAGAGAAAGTCCTGGCTCAGACACAGCCCCAGAGCAGTGCTGAGCCTCGTCTAGCACAGGGGCTGTCTGGAGACACACACATTCCATGCAATGGAATTCTGTTCCCCCATAGCCACGCTTCCACCCATCACCAGCACTGTTTTCTTGGTCAAGGTCACTGCTGGACAGCACAGGGGCTGTCTGGAGACACACATTTGCACACATTCCATGCAAGGGAATTCTGTTCCCCCATAGCCACGCTTCCACCCATCACCAGCACTGTTTTCTTGGTCAAGGTCACTGCTGGAACGCCCTGCTTAAAGCACAGGAAAAAGAAGGGAAAGTGACTGCCCCCCATGAGGCCAAAGCACCAGCAGCTGTCTGACACAGCCCTGCTGCCTCTGGCCAGCAATGCCAAACCTGATGGAGCCCATGTGTGCAGCTCAGGGGCTGTCCTGGACCTGTTTCCAGTACAATCCTCCCATCATGTACCCACCAGATCCCTGGACCTGGCTCCCCATGGTCCAAGATGCTTCCAGCAGTGAAACAGAGCAATGGAGAAGGGTAAGGAACCATCCCAGCTAAGGACAGCTTCCAGTTTACCTCTGCCAGCACAAAACCTGCTGCATCTCTGTAACTTCTGGGGCTGACAAAGCATATGTAAGAAGATGCACAGAATGAAATCTCTCTTCTTGCATTGAAGTGTTTCCAAATTCTGTTCCACCCCACAACCTGCACCACTGACTTGTCACCCATCACTCACAGCCTCAGGACAGCAGCTGGCTGTGGCTGCAGGCTTAGGACAGGAGCCAGTGTGGAAACTTCCACCTAAAACTACTCATAACCTCAGACAAGGTTTTAAAAAAAATAAAAATGGCATCATGAGCCTCCGTCCACCGAGGTTACAGCTGAGCATGTCTCTGCCAAGGCTTGCTCCCTTGCTGGTGACTAATCTCCTGGTTAAGGCATGCCTGCCAGGAGTACTTAGGGAGAGGCTTCAAACATGTCACTCTCAGATCAGATAATTCTACCACAATGGTAAGCTAGTTAGATCCCAGATTAAAGTGTGGCATAATTTTAATAATTAGCCATGCTATCAGAGAGCGGGGCCATTGCCCCACCAGCAGCCACCCTTTGCTCAGAGAATGGATGGGCCAAGCACAGGCAGAGGCTTGGGGATGGAGCAGAAACCTGCCATCAGAGCTGCTCAGGCTCCTCACTCTGCTGCAGGCAACAAGGAGCAGCCCTTGTGTTACAGAGACAGCCTGATGGCACCACCAGCCCTGCCAAAAACAACCCACTTTGGACTGGTGGGTGAGCTCCACAGCTGCTGCAGAACAGGCAGGCAAGCCCCAGAACAAGGGGCAAGGTGGTGTGGTCTGATGCAGTTTGCTTTGGACTGTAATTCAGGAGAGATGCAATTAATGCCGATTTTCAGACAGAACAGAAGTGTGCTGCCAGCAGAGGGGAATCAAGTGCCTCTGCCCTTTGCCCAGCCTGCAAAGTAACACCAGCTGCAGTTGTGAAAAAAGGAGCTGAGGTTAAACACACAGCCCATGCCTCTTCCTGAGGAACACACACGTCTTCAATGCAGGAACAAGGAGACTTGTGGACTAAAATGTGCCTCCAAGACTTAAATCTGATTAAGAACAAAAAGAACCCTGTGGCAGAATTTTCTGTAAGGTATTTTTTTGTCCCTGCTGGGAAGGGAGAGGTGGTGAAGTGTGGGCACACACCTGCACTAATCTGCACTGTGTTTTGAGAAGGTGCAGGTGAGCATGTGGGTCAGTGGGGCTCTGGTACATTCAAGGATGCTAGTTGTGAAAAACAGATGCAAGGATCTGCTTCACCTGTGAAAAAAAAGAGATTTCTGTAAAGAAAGTCAGTAGAAATCAAGTCCAGTATTTAAAAAAAAAAGCAAAATTCAGCTACAAAAAACATGGCATGCAAAGTGCACTGCAGAGCTCTTTCACCTCATCCTGCTGCACCTTCCTTGCCCCGCTCAGGGAAAGCTGCTGACTGACAGCATGGCAGAACCTGCAGCTCACACAAACTATTGTCAATTATCTGGGCACTCAGCACCTTGGTCTGGAGCCACCAGCACAGCACCTGCTCCTGGACCTTCAGACCTGAGCTGCTCAAGGTTAAGGATCAGTGTTTTCAAAATGTCTCCATGGTGCCAAAGGCACTTTGGCTGTAAAATAAACCCAGCTAAATAATAACTTGCCCATGAAACTGCATTACCTCCTTGGTGCCAAATGCCTCCTATCCAGGTGTTGGCTCCACTTTTTCCCATTACATACTGCATACCCAGCAAAAATTCACTGTACAGGGTCAAGTCTTTCAGATTTGGGGGATGTGTAAACAGCACACAGCAGCTGCCTGTCCAAAGAGGGGTTAGTGGTTACAGGAACTCACTGCATTTGACCAGAAAACACACAAACACATCAAATCCATCTGATTTTAAGTATACTTGAAGCTGATGAGTGAACAATCCACCTATTTTAGCTCCAATATCACATGGTACCTGAGCAATACAGCTACACCTCATCTCCCAAATTCCAGCTTCCCATCCTCCCAGGCACTCACTCTGACTGAGGCTCATGCACAGTGATCAACCTCATATCAACATGGGAAGGTTTGAGCAGTGCTTCAGTGTGCAGGGAAAAGGGAAATGTGACTTGTTTGACCCCTTCCTCAGAGCTGCATCCATCACAGACAGCACCAAGCACACCATGGCTACAGGAGCTGCAGCCCAGCCACAGCAAAAGTGCCTACAGCTAGAACTTCCAAAATGTCTCTACTGGGCTAATTATACATTAACCAGAAAATAAGTAATTCTGTAATGTCCCTAGCAAAGCAAACTGGGGAGCAAAGTTCATGTAAGATTCCAGGTAAGGCCTCTGAATGCTAGGAATAGGAGCTGCTCAAGAACGCTGTAATTAAATCACTTTATTCCCATCAAATCCCTACAGCCCTTTCTGACAAGCTCCCAGCTACTGCAAGAGCCAGTTCTGCTAAGTGCTGCTGGTAGGAACACTGTAGATGGATGAGCCTTCTGAAAAACTGAACTGCTGGAGAAGATGCCCTGACTGCCCCCCTGCCAATCAGAAATCACTAATTAACACCCTGAGCACAGCCCATTCACATCAGAGGAGAAAACACCAGTGGAGCCTTGTGTAAATGGGTGGGGCTGCAAACCAGGGAAAATCTGAACTTGTTTCCAAGAGGAAAGCTGACGATGAATAACTCAAGAAGTGTTAATTATTCACAGATGGCCCCATCCTGCTCCCTGGGTACCAGGTCCAGCCATGGGAGCAGCTCTGCTCAGTGCACAGGGGACAAGCACGAGCACCTCCATGCCTGAGCACAGGGTGGGCTCCAGGGCTCCTCTCCACTGATGGAAAAAAACAGAACAGAACAGAAAAGACCTTCAGATGCCTTCAAACCACAGCAATTCCTATCCAGTCTCTTGCCTCTCCCAAAAGCTTCTGGTTTCTGCCTTCACTAACATCAGGGCCAGAGCTGGGAGAGGGGCTGAGCAGGATGACACAGGTGACAGAGCAGTAGCCCCAGCAGAGCCTCTGGCACTCCCTCTGCCCTTTGCAGGGGCCCCAAAGGGGTGTCTGGGGTACATGCCATGCCCCAGTGGTGGAGAACAGCTCAGTGTGTCCCCAGGGAGCAGTGCTGGTGACAGCCTGGCTCAAGGGAGCTAACTGGATCCTAATGTCTGCTCTGAAGGGCAAAATCCGTGCCCGTCCTTGAGCCTCTAATTCATGTTGGATCTGAACATCATTATCTGGAAGTAACAGAAAAGTAGATTCAGTTCCAGAAAAGAATACCAATGTAACTCCAGGAGCCTGCCAGTAGGAAAAGGAAACCTTGCAGCCCCTTCATGTCAGCCAAGGAATCACTCTTGACCCCACAATGACTCACACTTCCACTTGCTCACCATTACTCTTATAGCTCCTTTCTTACATCATCCTGGCCCAAAGATCACCTGTGGACACCTTCACTTTTCCCCATCATCTCCACTTTAACATCACCAAAACAACTCAGTCTGGGATTCTCTGATCCCAGGGATCAGCATGTCCTCACAGACCAAGCAACACAGGTGCTGAGCTGGCATCTCCTTCTTCCCTTCAAGCAGCATTTAATAACAGGATTAAATGCAACTGAACAAATCAAGTGAAGTCTCCAGGCCTTAATCCTGTACCATCAAGTTCTGTTCTTCGGTTGAGTTCTGAAGCTGTTTCTTCACTGAGCTCTTCTGGTGGCATGTCCTGGCTTGTCTTTCCTAATACAGAGAAAAATGTTGGGTACAAAAATAAGTATCTCAAATTTGTCTAAACTGCCTCTTTCCAGCATTTAATCAGTGCCTGTTTTCCTTGTTTTGAAACTAAATTCTGCATTTTTTCCAAATGTCCATGACAATTTTGAAACAAAACAAGTATCCTTCTTTTCCATCTGGCTTACAGATGGGAACCTGGCACTTGGTTTCCATCTCTGAATCTGCTGGCACGCCCCAGGCCCCGTGGCAAGCCCCACAGCTATGTCCCATCCAAATACTGCACAGAATGCTCTTGTCTGGCATCTTCCAACCTAAATTATTTACTGTTCATTAAGAAGAATCATATTTCTCCTCCTTTTGCTTCATTTACTGCCTCTCCCAGAGCACGCACTGACTCTAAAACAGAGATAACTTCATAGAGACACCAGGATAAACTGACCTCCCTCTGGCAGTGAGAGTGGCATTGTGTGGGCCAGTGGTGGCCACCAGGCACCTGCCATGCAGCCGTGCCAGCCTGAGGGTTATGTGGGCAGCAGCCAGGCTGCTGCTTCAGCTCACCCATGGCCAGGAGCAGGGAAAGCTTCCCTGGATCTGGTATTGTGAGGGATCTCCAGCCACCGAGTGCCAGCACAAACAGCAAGTGTCACATGTGCCAGTGACGTCCCTTAGAGCAGGTGACAGGAGGCTGACACCTCTGCCCACATGCTGCCTGCCTGGCGGTGGCTGAGCCTGTGTCTGCACACCCCTGGCACAGACCCTCCCCTGCGTCCTCAGGGCACACACTCGGAGCCTTTCCTGCCTGTGCCATCCCGCGGTGGTTTTCTGGTGGCAGATGCTGCAGCTGAGTCACAGGGACTGGTGAGGAGGGTTCCCCTGCCAGGGTGAGCCGGCAGGGATGAGGAGGGTGGCCCGGGCTGCCTGGGGCACGCTGGGCTGAGGGACCGCGAGCCTGCCAGCTGCTGCATGAGGGCGAGCCTGTTATTCCCTGAGCCCCCTCACACAACGCAGAACAGCGACAGCACTCCTGCAGCTTCAGAGGAATCATTTTCCTTCTCTAACGGGGCTCCACACTCCGTGGAGCCTTACGGAACAGCCCGGCTCTGCCTCCACACCACGGCACGGACGGAAGACCAAACAAGCGCTCACATTGCCCGGCACCGCTGCTGTTCCCGGTGACACTCTGCACAGATGATGCCACTGCAGAGCCTCACAAACCGAGCGGACAGCCTGGCTGCGGCCAGCCCCGGCTCCCGCAGGAGTGACCACGGCACCTGCCTCCCACCCATCCCAGGTGGCGGCCAGGAAGCCACCGGCATCCCAGGGCGTGGGGCCAGCGGGCTGCACTCTGCTCCGGCCCCGGACAGGCTGGGCTGGGATATCTGAAAGCATCCATGTTCCCATTCAACGCTGCACTGAGGACGAGCAATTCCATCACATAGAAAATTTACCGGAATGCTCAGCGTGCGGCAGGAGGAACCACCGGGCTTCAATTTTCAGTCTCTGCCTCCCCCTGCACACAAACCTGTCCCAGGGTAAAACCAGCCGGCAAACACAGCGGGAAGGGCGAGAGCTCCTTGGTCAGCCTTTACCTGTGGCATCCCTCCCGCTGCTCGCAGCACCGTGCCCACCCGGACCGCTTCCCACAGGCACCCGCTGGTTCCTGCTCCCTGTTCGCCCTCCCCCGGACAGAGTGACAGGCCTGGCCCCAGCACGGCCCGGGGCAGGGGTGGCACCGCGGCCGCGCACCTCGGTGACGATGGTGGAGCGATAGACATCGCGGCTGTACTCCCAGCCGTCCAGGCACGGCTCCTGCTCCAGCGCCTCCAGCTCCACGTCGGAGCCGGGTCGCAGCCCCAGCGCCGAGAAGTTGGCGAGCGCGGCCAGGCGGTAGCGGCGGCAGCGGCTCGGCACCTCCTGCCCGCCCCGCAGCTCCAGCGGGATGCTGGCGTTGCGCCACTCGCCGCTCAGGTTGGCCCCGCGGGGCACGACGCACCGGTGCTCGGGCGTGCCGGCCAGGAACACCACCGACATCCCGTTGAAGCCATTGGGAATGATGCTGGCGCTGAGCAGAAAGAAGACGAGGCGCTGGAAGCGGCCCCACTCGCCCAGGAAGGCGGTGGTCTCATCGTAGTCGCGCATGACGAGCGCGGAGCTCCGCGGGTCTCCCCGGGAGCCGCGCTCCGCGGAGGCGGCACGGGCAGCTCCGCCCCCGCCCGGCCCAGCCCGGCCCAGCCCGGCCCCGCGGGGCGGCGCGTCCCGGCCCGGGGGCGCTCGGCCAGCCCCGGCCCTGCCCGCCCCGCCTCCCGCGGCATCCCCGGAGCCTCCCCCGGGCACCGCTTCTGCTCCGCCGCCGGCTCCGCAGCTTTCCGTGGGAGGCGTGTCCGGGTTTTTTCCATTTATTTGCCTGGGCAGCCGCAGCCGGAGCGGATCGGGTGGCCCCGGCCCCGGCCCCGGCCCCGGCCCGCTGCCCCCGGCCCCGGCCCCGGGCGGCTGTCTCGGCAGCAGCCCGGGTGGCACCAGCACCGGCCCCGGCCCCGGCCCCGGCCCCGGGCGGCTGTCTCGGCAGCAGCTGCCCCTGCGAGATCAGCGCCTGGTGGGAGCGCGGCGATGGCTCCGCCGCCCCCCGCCTTCCCCGAGCCCCGAATCCCTCCCTTGGGGACCCAAAGCCGGCTGTGCCCTGTATCGCTGCCGCAGGATGGGGGCACAGCATCGGAGCCCCCGCGGGAGCGGAGCACTGCCGGGCATCGCGAGTTAATGGACAGGGAGCTGGAGCAGGAGCCAGCAGCTGGGAGCTCCGGCCCGGCGGCGTCTCTGTCCCCGGCTCATCCCACGAAAGGTAGCGACGTCAATAATGGGAGCCCTCCTACACACTGGCACAGAGGAAAACAAGGAGCAGACAGTGCTTTAGGAATCGAACGTTCTCACTGCCCTGAAATCTTGTCCCTAATGCAGCCCAGTGCTTTTTCCCAGCAGTGTTTACTCTCGGTAACAGACAAGGTCAGCAGTGTCTGCTCAAGGAGCCTGTAGCAGCTCTGGCCTCCAGAGAGGAGCTTTTTATATTCCCATCTCCAATCCATTTACTATTCCTGCTCCACACGTGACTGGCTTTGCCCACAGTCCGATACGTGGATGGCTGTCAAAGCCATTTCAGAAATCCGAACAACGCTGTCGTCTTCTGAGATAACTCAGGGGGCGCTCAGAAACGCCTTGGTGTCTAAAACAAGCCCGGTGCTTGCCCTGCCCGGACCCTGCTCCCGGTGCCCGTGTCGGGCTGTGCCCAGAGGAGGATGCCCGTGCCGGGATGTGCGAGGGCAGGCTGGGCACCCTCGCTGCAGCAGAGCTCACACAGGGCCACGGGGGAGTGTGGGGAGGAAGCACGGGGTGGAAGCGATGGCCCGGCCGTGCCCGGGGAGGAGAAGCATGTGGCAACATTTATCTGGCCGGGCAGCGATCTGCTGCTGCTTTGGATGTGGGCGAAGCACGCCTGTCATGGGAAGATCAGATATCTCCTGTTTGGAGAGGACATCCCCGTGCCGGCCTGGGCTGCTGAGCAGTCTAAGCTGTCCCCAGTGATAAGAGCAGGGTGGGGGCCAGTTGGGACAGATCAGGGGTTCCCAGGCAGCAGCAGCAGCAGCAGCAGCAGCAGCAGCAGCAGCAGCAGCCCTCCACCTGCCCTGCCCTGAGGCTGTGCAAGAACCACAGTAAAATGCAATGCATGCCTGCTCCCATGAGGAAATTAGGGATGTGGAATGTATTGTCTTAAGCATTAATGTTAATGCAATCTTAGTAATTATTCAGTCAACAGTAATTTCTTACAGAGGACTGATTCAGAGAGCTCAGAAATAACTGTTGTGAGGCTGCAAATTTAGCATATCAGAAGTGCTAGACACAGACTCAGTAAGAGGCAGATGATGTGCTTAGGTTTATCTGGTTTGCAGATGCATGCTTAACATATTAAAATTTCATGTGTTTGACATGAAAACACCATGGGGTTTTCTCTTATACTGTGAACCTGCATCAATTAGCAGTTATAGAAATCCCTCGTGTTCTAGCCAGCTCTGCCACAGCACCACAAGCTCTTGCTGCAATCACCATAGCCCAGAGTTTTTGCTGGGTGCTCACCAGCTTGCAAAACCCACTTGCGATCCAGCATCAGGGATGCTTTAACCCAAGCATAGAGATTATGAAAACCACTTTAAAACAGTGACCAGTGAATGGGTTGGACTGTTGTGGAGCAAATTCACTGCAGGGGAAGGACCAGTCCTGGTTCTTGCAACTGACCCTTCTTAAAGAGGTCAGTGCATGTGTCCAGAGAAGGGCAACAGAGCTGGGGAAGGAGCTGGAGCACAATTCTGAGAGCAGCTGAGGGTGCAGGCGGGGCTCTGGAGTATGGGAGGCTCAGTGGGAACGTTTTTGCTCTCTACAACTCCCTGAAAAGAGGAGGTAGTGAGGTGGGGGTTGGTCTCTTCTCCCAAGGAACAAGCAATAGGGTGAGAGGAAATGGCCTAAAGTTGTACCAGGGGAGGTTTAGGTTGGAATTAGAGAAAATTTGTTTGTGACACTGGCACAGGCAGTGGTGAAGTCACCATCCCTGGAGGGATTTAACATGCATGAAGACATGGCACTTGGGGACATGGTTTAGTGGTGGGGGCTTTTTTCACCAAAACAATTCTATGATTTTACCACAGCCTTATAAAACACACTTTCAGCTATTACATGAAGAGCAGTGTGTGGGAAATGAGCTCAGGGAGCTCATTTAAACTGAAGCCAGATGCCAAGGAGCTGGCAGAGCAAAGGAGGAGTACTTCATTATAGGGGAGATGGAACACATCTTTGAATGGCTGAGACACCACCTCTAGGGCAGGCACTGGGTTCTTGTGGAAGGAGGAAGCTGCTCTGATGGCTGCTGGATGCCACAAGCTGCCCTGAGCTGTGGAGGAGCCCAGCTCCTGCTTGTGCAGTCACATCACCCTCATCCAGTGTGCCACTGCTGGCATCAGACTGGGGTGGTGCAGCCCACAGCAGCTCTGCTCTTTCTGCTAGGGCAAAGCCCCTTTGAAGGGATCCTCTGCTGTGGTGGGACAGCTGTGCCACCCTCCCAGCAGCCATCTCGAGAGCTGGGAATTAAGAAAGCACATGATAATTTAGAGTTCTGTGGATTGTGTAGTCCTTGGATCACATGGAAACTTACTTATCAACAGGGCAAAGCAAGACCTATTTTGTGTGTGAGCCTGCAGTGTGTGCTCCGAGGGGCTCTGTGCCACGTGCTGGAGCTCCCGTGCCACCCTGCTGGAGTGTGGCACAGCCCTGCTCTGGCCAACCCTGGGGCTGGTGATCACATCCATCAGGGTCACATCCCACTGGACCAAGAGCACTTGGGAAAAAGTCATCTTTAAAAAGGCTCTTGACTCACCGCAGCCTTTCTGCTCTCTCCAATACAGTGCAGGTACCCCAGCAGCGCCAGGACCTGCCTGAGGCTCAGATGAATCCAGCTCGTGGGATTTGGAGCTCTCAGGGGCATTATGTCCATCACTTCCCAGTTCCTGGTACTGGTGAATGAACTTCTCTCCTCCTAAGCAGAGCCCAGCAGACAAGCATTTGGTGTGAATGATTTTTCATCTTATTTGTTGTAGGAATCCTGTAAAAGAGATGGAGTGAGCATTCCTGTCTTTAGCATGTGTGTGAGGATTTGGGACAAACCCTCCCAGAGCCCACCTGCTCCAGTGAAGTCAGCTTTCCCAAGGCTATCCAGCACTCAGGAAGCACTTCAGTCATTTTGCTTGGTGCAATGTCACTCCAGCCGGGGAAGGGACGTTGCTTTGGCCCTGGTGGGGACCAGCACACGCTTCCTGTGCAGCAGGAGCACGTTCTGCTTCCCTGACCCCAGCCTTCGGGTCAGAGCTCAGTGACCTGGGTCGGGGCTGCATCAGAGCAAGGAACCGCCAGAGGTCTTGCCAGAGCAGAGACGAGATGCTCCAGCCCATCACTACGGTGTAGAACGACCTCTCCCGGAGAGACCATTGCCAGAAGTTTCCCCAGGCGCTGCCCTCTGGGTGGATTTGGATGTTCTCGCTCGGGAACATCCCCGCCATGCCGGGACTCTCACAGAGCTGGCTCCTGTCCCACCCTGCTCGAAGCCGCTGGATATTTCAGTTTTCATCGCTAGATGGAGCAGGAGACAGCACAGCGCCCGGATGGAGCTCTGCCTTGCCCCATGGCCCTGCACAGACAGCTCCTCTGCCCCCATCCCCTCCCCACACCCTTTATAGCCCCTGCAGCCCAGGCACACCCATTTACCACCATCTCCCCTACAGATCCCATACATTCCTCTGCACATCATGCTCCAATGCCCTCCCTGCACATTCCCTGCACTCCCCCAGATGCTGGGAAACCCCCGGGACATGCTGCCTGGGGAGCTGGGATTCTCCATGCCAACACCTCTTGGGAGGGTCATAGTGGCTGGTGACACTGGGGACAGGGGCAAGGTGTGAGTGGCCTCTGGAGAGCCCCTCCAGCTGAGTTTTCCAGTGGTGATGTCCATGTCCCACTGGTGAGCCCAAGCCCTCCCAGCCCATGGCCCCACAGTGCCAGCTTGCATCTCCTCAGAGTCCATCAGTTGGGAAGGACACACTCATCACTGGCCTCCTGCAAACCTTCAGGTTTGGGAGTGAAGGACTAAGGTGTTTCTTCAGAAAATAGTTATTCTCACTAATAAAGCCAAAAGCCTGCACCAGGCTTGAGCAGTATCTTTGCAGAGTGAAGTGTGACCCTGTGCCCTGAAAGCAGAACTGGCCCCAGCCCAGGCCCTCCCCACTGGGCTCCCTGCACAAGCAGCTGCTTTAGGACTACCTAAAAATTCAGAATATTTAACTGTCCTGGCAGAGAAGCTGGTCCTGGCTGGAAGAGCTCTGAAAGTGTTTGCTGGGGAGAAACACAGACAAACAACTTGCAGATAAGTTTCTCTAGAATCAGGAGCAGTTTTCTGGGTTTTACTATATGTGTAGGGAAGATTTTTTTTTCCTCCCTAAAGTAATGAAAATAGCTTCTTTCATACATGAGAAAGGAAAGAGAGGGAACTTTTCCAAAGAGCCTCTTCCCCTCAATCCCCTTCCTATGGCACAGGACATTTATCCTCAGAATAGACAAGCTGAGATTTCTCAGTCCCTGGGGCAGACCAGTAGTAACAAAAGCAAAGTTAAACAACTCCAAACAAAAGCTGCAGCAGAACAGGGGTGTGGTGATGGAAATAATGCCTGGCTAAGTAAGAAACTTTAATGATA